TCCAAGTTCTTAATTACAGGCTTATTGACTTCAGATTTCTGTCTGGTTTATATTTGACTGATATATTTGATTTGTAACTGCTCTTGGCACTGTTCAGGTTCTGAGCTCAGAGTGGCCTTCCCTCAGGTGTGCTGGAATGTAACCAATCAGAACTCCCACTGTGGGTGTGTCCCAGGTGTCCACCTGCCTGCTCATCATCAGCTGGACACCCAGAGCTGCTCAGACAGAAATCACAGCACAGATCAAACACCAATATCTCGCACAAACACAACAAACTGGAATGCTACAGAATCCTAAACAGACAATACACACTAGCCAAATATTTGACCAAGATAAGAAACAGCAAAAAGAAACAGACCCTGATGAAGTACGGGCTCAGTGACCACAGCCTGGCCATAGAAACTGGGTGACACAGGCAGACCTGGCTGCCCAGAGAGGACAGGCTGTGCTCCCACTGCCAGCGGGGAGAAACAGAGACTGAGGTGCACTTCCTACTGCACTGTGACAGATAATCTGGGATTAGAGAAACATTCTTCACCAGTTTTACAAATCGAATTCCAGAAGTCCCACACCTGCCAGAATCACAACACGTCCCAATCCTACTGGGAGAGGGAGGAGGGAACTCAGCTGAACTGGCAGCCCAGTATGTGATCTCCTGTCTCAACCTGAGGAAAACTGAACTTGTCTCCCGATAATGCTCCATATGTTTATGATTGTGTCTTTATTGTAAATGTCTGTAGATTTTTGTTTTTTGTTAACAGTATATATTTTTTTGCTTTTTGCAGCACTGATTTTACTCATTGGTCATGCCAGGAAGCAGCTTGACTTGAAATAGGGAGCAAAGTCTTGACTGTCAGGGTGAGGAGAGACAATAGAGTTCTGTGTTGTGGATCTGGGAGAAATAATGTGCTTTAACAGGGGTATTTGTGGAAACCAGGACTGAGCTTGGAAGAGTCTCAGCCAGGAGATCAGTCAGTACTTGCCCCAGTCAGAGAAGGGTCTGCCCCAGGCCCAGCTCCAGAACCGGGACCGAGGAGGCCTCTGTCTCTCCAGGTCAGCCCCCTGCTGCTGAACGAGCAGCTGCTCTGGGTCAGCGGCGGCGCTGGAGAAGTGGACACTTACCGGATCCCCCTGGTGACCTTCACCCCGCAGGGCAGCCTGCTCGCTTTCTGTGAGGCCAGGAAGCACTCCTCCTCGGACAGCGGAGCCAAGTTCATTGCCACTAGGCGCTCCACAGACAGAGGTCAGTCCCCGGTCCCGCTGTTCCTCCTTCTGAGTTTAGTGTCTGGACTGTATTAACCCCTCTCTCTCAGTGCAG